TTTAGATTTTTCTTGGATTTTATCGTTTTCCCCATAGTCATGCAGATTCATATCATGCATTCCATGTATAACGTCACACACTTGGTCGAGCTGCTCGTCTTCTTGTCCACCAGAGCGCTCGGCCTCCAATGGACGGGCTAGTTTAACTGCCCATCTGAGTTGGACGAACATTGTTGCTCGTCACCAAAATCTAGCGTCTCTAAAAGAGCATAGATTTTGTTGTGCAACTGTTGCTTTCGCTGCAAGTTGCGGGGCTTTTTCTCTGGATGAAGTACCCAACAGTCCTCTACCTTGTGAACTCCACGCCTGCAGTGGGAACAAATCGTACCGGCCGGGAACGCTGTACTCGATAAGCTATCACCAGCAGCACTGCTGTGATTACTACCTTTCCCGTTATTACGGTTGGGTTTACCGTTATTCGGTTTATGACCAGAAGCTCCACTGCTGTTGCTCTTTTGGTTGGTTGCAGGAGTTTTTTCCTGCAGTTCCCATTCAAGAAACCCTTCTTGAACAGCTGCTGTTAATGTTGTTGGCTGTTTGCGCTGGATTGCTAGTCTTACTTGCATGTCGGTCAGACCGTTCACAAAAATATTAATCGCAGTCAATTCATCAAGCTCCACAACTCGTTGCAACTCGCGAAACTTATTGACATAGCCGTGGTACGCTCCAGTCTGCTTCAATTTCAATAACTGGTTGCGCACTTTAGCCTGGAAGTTTGGCTCACGAAACTCTCGAATCATCTCACGTTTCATAACACTCCACAATTTTATAGCTGTGTCGTCAGTCATGTAGCGCTCGTACCAAACCAAGGCGTTTTTACGAACGCACTGGTTGAGCTCATGAGGGAGGAGGTGATCATACAGCGTCAAATTGTAACCCTTTTGTTGGAAGTAGCTCTCAAATTGAAAGAGAAACGAGTTCAGTTTGATTCCGTCAATTAAACCCTCGAAAGCCGGTGGACTCACATCCATCTTGCGCAAATGAGGCACATCTGTTGCGGGTATGGCCGTGTGCATCCTCGGGACAGTAGCTACTGGTGCCATGATAACGTCCGCTGCTCCAGCACCACTAGGCTGTCCAGGGACAGGTATCTGCGGAGCGACAGGAGCAACATTTTGCTGTGCTTGAGTCCGAGCTTCTCCAGCAATCTGTTGGGCCGTTGCTGCCGCTGCTTGGGTCTGGTTCAACGTTGTTGACATGTTTGTCATAGCTTGTACAAGATTTGCTAGTTGCCCTTTTATCTCGGTCATTTCAGCTCCGATGTTGTTGTTGAGATTTGTAATCTCTGCTCTAACTTCAACTCGAAGTGCATTTTGAGCTGCAGTGAACTCCCGTCTCAAATCCGTAATTCCATTCTCCAGCTGAGTGAGCCGCTGATTTGGCTCAGGTCGGCTTCGGTTCGTGGCGCCAGCAGCGCTATTTTCACGATTCCCGTCCTCCAACTCTAAGAGACGACGTGCCGGTGCTGTGTCACTGCGCAGCACGCGTCGAGCCGTGTTTCGAGTCGTCATCGCCATGAAGTTCTACTATGTCGCAGTATTAGGCTGAGCTCACTCCGATAGAGCTCAGGCTAAGCTGTGAATATGGTAGCACTTGAGAGGAAGCAGGCGCCGAGTCTTATATGACGACGGAGTTGATGTAATTGGTGAATTTGCTGTTTTTGTTGTGGTTGTTACACTTGCTATACTTGTAGACTTGCTAGTGTAGTGTGTGGCCTCTAGCTCACGAACTATGAGGTCGCAGAGAGCCAACACACACTGCTTGGCCAGAGCAGTACGAAGCAAAACAATCTGTTAACCTGTTGGTATATTTAAGACTGTGGTCTTGAGTCGCCGTGCTGGCTCGCACTTCAACGGTAAGTACCCTACTAGTCCCTATAGTAAAGCTAAGTCATAATAAAATGCACGCATGGCATTGGCCATACTCGTTTCCTCGACTACAAGCTCCATCAACGCTCATCGCGGACTTCA